CACAAAAAATTGTGGAAGATTTAGCGCGGATGCTTGTACTTGTTATTTGATATATTGTCCTTTATCGGACAAAAAAAGAGAGCACAAAATGCATGTTTGTGTCGGTCAGAACTCATGAGTTAAAAAGTCGCTATGAAGGTCTTAATTAAATTCCGATGAGGAAAGCTCCGTTGTCTAGTGAGGTTTTTGACAGGGTATTTCCACTAGCTTTGGCTGGACGAGTGCCTTTCTATTTAAATGGCGGCATGCAACCTGTTGTAGTAGGAGTAATTCCCAGCCGCTCTGTACTGCTGCCTTGAAATATAATGCGACAGCTCAGGGAAGTGCATTATGCATATATATACCGACAATCCCTTTTGTATCGGCCAATCAAGATCGACGCATTAAACCATGAAGGATGCAGAGCCGCTGATGAATCCCATATTCATATACTGACTCCATATGTGTGCGTAAGGTTAACTCGCACATGGCATGCATGTACATACCCCAACTTATTAATCGACAATAAATCGGTCCTCCATGCATGATTGCCCAAGTTGCCATGGCCACCTTGACGCATATGGCGACCTTGATTCCTTTGCAGAACCTGATCATTTGCATATGCAAGGCGAAAAGTTCAAGAGCCAGAGTACGTCGTCGTCTTCCATCACACTGACTTGACATGCAAAACGAGCGATGGACGTAGTACGTGCGTACGGGACCAGCACCACACCATCAAGATAAATCAAGCGATGACATTGAAGCTGACGAGATTGGTTAATTGATTTAACCCATCATACGTGCCGCTTGGTGGCGGCCCTGTATATATACATACATACATATGTATACAACTAATGCTTGCGTCATAATGATGCAGTGATAAGGAATTACTATGTTGTGAATCAACCTGTGGTTGGATGGTTAGGTGGCCAGTGGTATCCCAGGCCACCAGGGTTCAAATCCTGATGACTTCGTAAAATCTCAAGATGATATGTTGATCCAGTTTCTTGGAGGTGCTCATGGAGATAGGATGTGCGGGTGTACGTTCATAAGGATGAGTGTATGCACGTGTATTTGAGCCCTTGCGTCCGCATTCAGAAAAAAAAAAGGAACCATTATGTTCAAAAAATAGAAAAGAAAGAAAAGGAATCATTTTTTTAAGGAAAAAAGGCGTATGTATACATGCACAGTTTGTACAGTCGTGCTACTACCTAGTCTCGGTCACACAATAGACTTGCCTTTGTGGTCCGTGGACAAATTTATTAACAGCCATGCAGTTCGCAAGCGCACGATAGGTGCCATTTTTAAGGCCAACATATGGAGTGGTACACACTTAATTAATCAGTCCTCCACTAGCTAATTATTGCCCAAGTTGGCATCATGGAGGCTATAGGTTGCACTTGTAGGACCTGTGCATTTGTCCTCGCTTACGCACATCGATTTGATCACGATAGATGTGCCGACTAGGCATGATGGACGCTCACTGGACTGAAGCTGGAGCATGAACCTTCTACGTGACTTACGTTTGTCGTAGCAAGCATAGTACGCAAGGTTCTAAAAACAGATTTAATAGCAAAAGAGTTTGATTTTCACGTAAATGTCTACTTGTCTCGTTAGGTAACAGAAATGATATCTAGCGAACGTCAGCTAGGGAGCCCATCCCAGCGAACGCCTTGCCCGATGTTGCACGGATCTTGGCACAAGACCAATGCCATGTAGATAAGCTGGAGCCGGTCGCGGTTACTCGTTTCCTGGCGAACGTTCTCAATTTTTTTCTTTCAAAAATTTCACGTCCAAGGTATCTGAGGAGGGGTTCAAATTGTCGCTTCCTTGTGCACAGGGGCGGAGTGGGGGCACTTACCACTCGGTTGAAGTGGGGCTTTGTGAACACTTACAACCAAACTATTATATGTATTTTTAAAGTTATTTTTTAAAATCATTTTTTCTTCTGATTTCTTTTCATTTTTGAAAGAAAAATCTCTATTTTTACGGGCATTTAATTTTTCTAAATTTGCCATGTCCATGTCTAAATATAGGTAGCATGGCAATTCAATTTTATTTTAATCCATGACAATTTTTGGTGTTCCAAAACATGGAAATTTTAGGTCTTTTTGCAATGACCCATGGCAAGCTTTAGGAAATATTATCACTTGCTCATGAAATTTTTTGAATTATTTTTTTACTTTCTCACATGGCAGTTCTACAATTAAGAACGTCACATTTTACTAATTAATAAAATGAAATTTTAATAATTAAGAGGTTGACATTTTTATGATTAATGATATGGCCTTTTATTATTAATGATATAATATTTTTATTATTAAGACGATGTCAGCTTTATTATTAATAGGATGAAAATTTAATTATTGAGAGGATGTCATTTTTATTATTGTTTGGATGGCATTTTTATCATCAAGAGGATGGTAGTTTTATTATTAAGATGATGGCAGTTTCAATTTTTTTTATTGAACAGGAAAATAAAATTTAGTGAGATGGCATTTTTTGTGAATTCTTGCAAGGTGGACCAAATAAAGAAAAAATTTACATAGGGGCATTTTTATTTTTGGTCCATGGTAAAAATAAAGAAAAAATGTTCTCCAAAAACATGTCATTTTTTGCACAGTGAAACATCTCCACGACAAATTTCATAAAAGGAATTGTAGATCACACGACACACTTTTTATCATACCATTGTATTTATAAATGATAGAAATGGCGGTTTTGTAAGGTAGCATGGCATTTTTAATATTTTCATAATCATGGATTTTTTTTATAAATTTATGTTTTCTCTGTATTTTTCATAAGGAAACGTGTATTTAAAAAATTGTTAACTGGCCC